GCATCAGAGAGAGAGAGAGTAAAGCTGGAAAGAGCTCAGAGAGTGTGACATCAGCCTGGATGCAGCATATAAAGTTTGACCAAAACATGCAAGGACTCCTTTGCCTTTACACATGGGGAGCCAACTTCACCAGGTGAGCTATCTGGGCACCCCGATATTTGTTTTTTAACCTGAATTACTTTATAAATGTACCGGTACATGCTTCTTACTATTCCAATTCAACTGAGGGAAAGTCTGTTGTTAGCTGACCTGGTCATAACCCACAGAAATATGCAGCTGTAGTAGAGATGTCTTTGTTTTCAGGGATCACAAGCTAAAATGAGAAACAATGCAGCATTCCACTTTTGTGTTCATAGTCTTTATGCGGGTAATTTTTTTTTCTAAAAAAAAGATAACCACAGTCTTTCTACCAGTCCCACTTATTCTTTTACAAGCCTTTAAAAAAAAAACATCACTGTCAGACATGATTTTCTATCCCAAATGAGACTTCGAGTGAAACAGCGGGCACTTGGCAGCACGATCAGTGCATGTCTGCATGAGCCTGTCTGTCATGGAGGGAAATTACCACCAACCACCAGTCAAATGCTGTTTTAGCTCTACAGCAGAAGCATCATATTCAGGTTTTTTATGCAAAAAAAAAAGTGAGTTTTTTTTGTGGTAAAATAGTGAAAGTGGCTGGGGAACTGTGTCGTTTCCTGTCCTGTCTGCAGTGGCTGGAGTAGTAGGCAACGGGTAGTTCAGGGCCTCATGTGTTAAAGGAGGTCAAATATCAGGTACATCAAACAATCCGTCTGCATCAGTGAGGGGAAATTTGTCTTTCAACTGCACCGTGGAGTGGGAAATACCTCTGAATGCTTGTCTGAGTCGAGACGTTTACACAGCTGCGGCCAGTTATGAAAATGAATTATGATGATTATTTTGTTTTATTCTATTTTATTCACAGCACACGGTAAGATCATAAGGCAGATTCTTTTTCAAAAACTACTGAAACTTTCAAGGGACTCAGAGAAATAATGGATTTGTTTTCTCTGCCATAACTTGCACTTAGTGGATTTCTTTCATCCATTTCGTTCCTGCCTTGTATTTTTATTTTATTTTTTTTACAAAGATTGATGTGAGTGTTTGTGAGTATGTTTGCTTCTATGCATACTGTTTATGTAAGCGCATGTGTGTATATGCGTGTGTGTTTGCCCGGTTGCCCTGTTTGTGCACTTTTATCCACTTATTGCTTCTAAAGTGTCCTTTGGGGACAAAAGAGAATTACTTCACTGTCTGCTGCATTTAATAACTCCCTGCATGTGTGTGTGAGGGTATTTGCATGTTTGTGTGTGTCTGCACCGTCTGTTCCATTCAGTAACCTTGGTCTTACTGGCTCTATACTGTAAGACTATAAAACATTATGATACTGTAGGAATGTCTCAAACTACAGGGGTTTCTAGCTTTAACTCCCACATACCGCATTTATTTGACCATTTAATGTACATTTCAGGAAAAAATCCTCTGCTTTCTGCGTGGAAAATAAGCTTTATGTGACTTTAATAGCATAATAATGAATAATAAAGCATCTTCTTTGCTATCAAACAAAACCTTATACTACCTCTAATCTGTGTCAGATCTCTTTGTGGCTGTACCACAATCGTAGTCCAAATTTGACGATGAAAAACTCATCTTGGTCAAATGGAAAATGATCTCACCACACACCAGATCTCTAAAACAATCTAAACACAAACAGCTGTACAATGACTTTGTCAAGAATATGCAAAATTATAATTTAAAACCAAAAACGTCTAATCAAAGAATAAGTAAAGACAAGTACGGATCTGGGAAAACATTCGATGTTGGCTTTTGAATCAATACCAAAGGGCCCTATCTAGAAGTTATTATCTGGAACCAACAAAGTATTTTGCATCTTTCTTCTTTAGGTTTGCTAATGAGCTGTATGTATGTTAAATGTATGTATGTATGTATGTATGTATGTATGTATGTATGTATGTATGTATGTATGCTGCATGTTCCAAACATGTTCCAGAAAAGCTTTTAGAATTTAGAAACTTTTAGAGATCAGTGAAATCTGAACTTTTACATATATGTTTTATTTGTTCTGGAATAAAACATTTAGTTGCACAGGAGTAAATAAAGTTATTTTTAAAATTATAACTTTGGCCCTTAGTCTTATCAATCAAAACATAAAGAAGAGTTAAAATGTTTCAGTATCAGCAAGAGACCATATATACCAATTCTGGATTGAGACAAGTCATGCTCTGAGGTAACTATTAAATAATAAAACTTAATAAATATTGTGAAAAATATACTCATATACATATAAAATAAATCTAATAAACTATACACAGTCCTACTTCTCTTAGTAACATAAACACAATAAATAAATACTAAAATTGCTGATGATACCAAAAAACAGTGAAACAGAAAAAGCTTTTAAAATACAACTAATGAGAGACAGATCCCACTTCACACCAGTCTATAAAAATGAGAGCAAGAATTATGAAAGTGGACGTCCAATTACAGCGATGCAGCTCAAGTCGTTAGTCTGTGATGGGTTTACCAGGCTCAGGCTCTTGGCCTGACTCTCACAGGCACAAATTAAGCCCAAAGAATAGGTTGTAAAAGGATAAGTCTTCTTTTTTTATACCTAAGAAGATTTTCAGATTAATCATAATGAAACAGATGTTCTTAAAGTTCATACAAAGGTCATCTGAGTTCATTTTTGTTGAAAATTGAGGTGTGAGAATAATAATAATAAAAAAAGTAATCAGACAGGTCATATTTATGTGAGGGGAGAGCAGCTGCTGTATTGAGGACTTTAGGTATCCGAAGTTCTTATTCAGTCTGAGGTCCTCAAGCTGGGGTTCCTCTTACTGTTAAATCTCGTAGAAAAATAAAGGCGACCAGGTTTCTGCTATCAAGGCAACTCTTTGCTTATGGATCTGGGGCTAAAACTTTCACAATGCTAGCCATCTGATGAATTTTATTTTACTTTTGTTTTTGTATTTGTTTTTATCTGGTTTTAATTATCACTATTTTTACTTCTTGATACATTCCTCTTCTTTTCTCATTTATGTTCTTGTCTTTGTCTCTTATTTCAGTCTTTCTTTCAGGTTTAAATATTAATTTTGCCCATGTCAAACAGGTTCTTACCTTGTAAAAAGTTCTAAAGATAAAAATGTTAACATAATGGGTGATACTTTGCCTCTTAATGAGACATCTTGCAATGCTGAGTTTGCTATCGTTGCTTTGGTCAGTAAGTTGATTGACAGATACTTGACTTGAAAAGTACCCTAACAGTTTGGAGCCTGGTCTCTAGCCTTCTCAGTTTCAACGGGTAATGTTAGAGATCCCAGATCCCAACCACTGTCAAAATCTAACCACCTCAAAAAAGGTGCTCTCTGTGCACCAGATGTCATTGAAACTCATTTCAGATATTTTGCTGACAAAAACCAAACAGGTAAGAGAAATGAAAACATAATTTCTATGGCATGGATATAGACTTTCAGTAATAAACTTTCAGTCTGCTATCTGCTGTTTACCCAGTATCCGAGGGAGGATGAAACAAACTCTATAATAATCTGTAACTACATCTAAATGCTTTGAAAGCAAATGTTCAGATTTAATGTAGGCAAAAGTTCCTCAAGAACTGCTGTAAAATATGTGTACTACTTATCTTGGTCACTACAATACTTTTGACATTAAAAAAGATAAATATTGAAATTAGTCACTTTATTAGACAAAGGTTATTGGACTGTGTGTGCATTTGCTGAACATACCCGCCTTCAAAGATCTTGATACGGGTTGGTTCGGTGGCGGGCTGTTTGACTGAGACCTCCTTCTCTACCTGCTCCTCTTTCGAACGGTCCCACGATACCACTCCCTTCATCTTCCTCCCAAAATTACTGACATCAACTGGCATCAGCTCAGGCTTCAACTACAGAGACAAAGAAAAAGGAAAAGGGGAAAAATAGATCATTAACTTTGCATGGACACATTTGTTTGTATAACACTGTTTTAAACTTCTACATTTTACATAATTACAGGGCATACCTGATCAAACCTCAACTTCCAGGCCACAGAGGACACCAATTTTCCAGAGCTGGGTGGTGACATGGCTGCAGCTGTGTACATCAAATCAGTGTTCCTCCTCTGTTTGGACCTCAGCAGGGCCAAAGCAGCCTTGGTGCTGAGGTTCAGAGGATTGGGGTTGTATGAGCTTACACACCATGAACTGTAGACAGAGCTACGCAAGGCAGCTTGGGTGCTGTTGGGTTTGGTGTAGTTCAGAAAACACCAGCTAACTCTGCTCATGGTGCGCAGGCTAGGGAATTGAAAAAACTGCTGGACATCAGCCACATCTGTGAGTAGCAGCGTCTGACCCACTGCTCCGGATGATCCTGCGCTTTGGTTGGCAGCTAGCTGAACCAGCATGCTAAGGGGGATTTTACTGGGTGTAGGCTGCTTTGTGTTGTCAGTGTCTTCTGAATCATTGGAGGATACCATGGACTGGGGGCTAGAGTTGGGCTCTGGGACAGAGTCATCCACATCAAGCTCCTCTGGGGAGTCTCGGCCACCTGAAGCTGGGGAACGGTCTGTTACAATCTGCAGAGGAGGGGTGAAGCTATCAACACGGGGTACATCAGGAAGGTGTGGGGCAGAGGAACGGACAGGAATGGCAATCTTGGTGGCAACGGGGAAGTCGTTTAGTGGTGGAGAAGAGGTCATCCTTTCAGAATCCTCCATAGAGCCTTCACTCTTCAGACGGGCTCGCTGACCTCTACCCTGCCCCTTCTCAGGCTTGCTACTGCTTTCAGTTCCACTTAACTCCACGGCACTCATCTCCTTAACAATCTGTCCATACATTCTCTCCTCCTTAACCCTTTTCTGTTGCTTAGTCTCAATGAAGAGCTCCAGAGAGCTGGCAGGGGAAAGCATGCGCTTGCTTCCTCCAATGCCAGATCCTGAGGCATCTGTGGTGGATATGGTGCCTGACGTTAGTGACAGTGGGATCCCTGTGTTGAGGCGCTGTTCTGGCAGTGAATCTGAAACCTTCCAGAGTGGGTAGCGAGGCACAGTGCCATCGGTCTGTCCCAGGAAGTGTGATAGGTTGAAACCTGCCCCACTAATACCTCCTCCAATTCCTCCAGGTGGTTTGCTGACATTGACAACACCAACTGGCGGAGATATATTGCTGTTGTCAGCAACGCCTGGCCTGGTTAATCCTACCCCTGGTACCCCACTGCCATGGGTAGCTATCAGCTGGCTAACACTGGTGTACATAACACTACCAAATGATGGCACATGTGTTTGGATACGTACAGGAACCAGCATACCAGGTAGAGAGGCCTGGGAGCCCAGGTTCTGAGTGGCAAAGACAGGTTGGATCTGCTGCAGAAGCATGGGGTTAGTGGTGGAGCTGGGCAGGGAGTGCTTGGAGGAATGAGAGACAAAGTTTTGCTGTTGTTGCTGGGACAGGGGAGAGGTGCGAGATGAGAAAGAGGCAGGGTACATCTGAGAGCTTGGATTTTCTAATTTTCCATCATGTGGCTGTGGATCATGGATTTGCTGCATGGAGTGGGGTGGTTGGTCTTTGTGAAGAGGGTGTCCAGGCAGGCTGCCTGGTGGTCTGATCTGGAGTTTTTGGAGTTGCTGCTGGGCCTGGTGGGTCAACTGCTGTCGAGGTGTCTGACTGGCCTCCTGGCTCCAGAACAGACCTTGTTGCTGGAAGGAAAGGAAGGGGGGTCCACTCTGGTACTGCTGGATGACTTCCTTATTCATGACCTCGTGACCTGGATGTTCTCCTTCAGATGATGAGCCCTGGGCTTGCAGGCGATGTTGTTGGGACCTATTATGGAGAAACGGTTGAATAACCATAATATATATTATAAGTAATATAAAATTATAATTTATAAAAAAAATATATACATATAAGAAAACAACAACAGAAATTGTTGAAATGTTGATGAATTTGCATTTCATTTTGTCTGAATTTTGTTCATTCTATCACAGCAAAATAAGAAGGGCTCTTACTAATTTGGGGGTTGCATAGGAACACCCTGATTTGTTACCTGCCATAGAGAGGTTCATCCTGCAAGCTGTCTTCACTGATACTCTGCTGGAGGAGATGCTGGTGGTGCTGTTGGTATTGGTGAGAACCTACACCTGTGCATAAAGCAAAATAATGTATTGTAATATAGTGAAATTTAATTCTTCCCTAAAAAAGACAGACCAATATGATACTCCCATATTTTTGTACCAGAAATGTATATAACTCATTGGACAGAATAAGGTCCAAACATTTCAAAAGCAGTCTAGTATATTACATACCCATATACTAGCCTCAGTCTTTGTCTTAGTCAAGTATTTACCAATGCAGCATCATACAGAATCTTAAAAACCCATATAGATAATTTGACAACAAAGTTTTAGTGATAGTAATACAAGGCTTACCACCAATGCTACTGCCAGGTCTCTTGGTTCTACAGGCTACATCGCTGCTACTGTGAGGAGATCCTGTTGGGCCAGGCCATGCTCCATGTTCCAAACTCTCCTGTTTGATTGACATCTCAGCAACCCCTGGTTCCTGGGTCACCGCCTCTGGATAAACACTCAGTGAAGCCTGTTACATATACGAGAAAGCAGGGAAGTAGAGTTGGTCAGTTGTTATAATGTCAAATTTTGTGATACTTAAGTTAACTGTAGGTGTATTAACGATGTAACGTTGATATAGTGTAAGGAAATGTAGATGAAGTAGGTGCTAAGAAACCAGTTTCTAGTGGTGCCTTAAATCTTACTGAACCCTCTTTTTCTTATATCATCTAGGTCAGGGAGGGTACATAGGCGCTCAAATTAAAGAGTAATGCAGCTGTAATGCTTGTCTAAATGTCCAACCAGAATTTCCAGTCCATTTTTTAAAGAAATACAATAATAGGGAAGTTTTTGCTACCTGTCGGACAAGATATCCACGCCGGCGTTCCTTCATTGCAGAGGCACTGGAGTATATCTCTCCTTGTCTGGAGGAGGACAAGCTTCCATAGTCAAAGGATTTGCTTCGCATTTCAGGCAACTCTGTGGGCAGCGTGCATGGTGCCTGCTCCGAGGAAGACCTCCTCATCTCCCTCTGTTGGTGGTGGCTGGAGTGACCACTGCCAGGCACCGTCAGGAACTCCGACTGCTTAGGTCCACCACATGATGCCAACGAGTCATCCTGGTTTAGAATCCCCCCAAAAAATTGTTAATAATTTTCCACCTCTTTTTTGACTTATTGGGAACATGCTGTCCTTTACACCAACTTGTGCTACATGACAACATAGTCAGTAATAGCCATTTCAGGTAAATATCATATAATAATGTATGAAAAGTGTATTAAAACTGCTGGAGTGGTTAAGATGCATACATCTACATACATATTAAATATATAATGATATACCTGTTTGGTGGGTGAGACAGACTTGAGGCCTTCATCTCTGTCAAAGGACATGGAGAAGGAAGAGGAGTGAGACAGGTTGCTCTCCTGACTGGGACTGCGAGAAAGGCTGGTGCAGGTTGACTCAAAGCTTGATTCCCCAGATGAGTGCTCCATATCTGCCAGGCGCAACCGTTTCTTCTTGGGTGGGAGCTTTTCAGATGGCATTTGGGAGAGTGTGTCACTCCTCTGTGGCAGCTGGAACTCCTCCACATGCTGCTGCTGCTTTTCTGGTTCCTTGGTCAATGGAGCTTCTGTTTCTTTCTCAGGCTTGTCTGGCTCCTCCGTCACCCTGATCTCAGGAACTTGGATGTTGGGTTGTCGGACTAGCTTGTGTGGGATGTGATAAGGCTGGCCAGGTGAGGCTGCAGCTGATGACGATGATAGGGAGGCCAGGTCACTGTCACTTTGCAGCTGCTGCTCCATGCTCTCTGTCCTTAGTAGAGCAGATTCAGGACTCAGAGCATCTTCATAGATCTCTGTGTCGGACTGTTCAGAGTACTGGCTAGATGGAGCTTTATCTGAAGGCTGATATCCTGGCTGCTCAAAGGACTCTGACTTCTCAAAGGAATTTGGCCGGCTGAGGGAGTTGGTGTGCTGGATGACTGATATGACATTCCCAGCTGCCTTCCTGCCCTCAGAGTCAGGAAACAGTGCAATGTCCTCAGAGCACATGCTGGCACAGGTATCAAAGCTGTCAGACTGGCTGTGAGCACTGTGAAGAGAGCCTTTCCCTGTTGGGGTGGCTCTAGATCCATCAAGACTACCTTGTTTAAACTCATAGTCCCCTATCATCTCCACTGAACCACTGCAGCTACTGTCGCAGTGCCCAGGGCTGTCTTCTTCATCCCCAACACTCTTCTCTTTCCTCCTTTTTCTTGTGGCAGTTTCTGAAATGCTAACTTTAGTACCATATGGGCTGTAGGCAATGTGTTCTGGGACTCCTGGGCTGCGCTCACCAATTTTCATACCCAGAGATGAAGCTACATTCTTGGGCATGTGTCCATAGCCCTCAGCCTCACCTACATGGGCTTCATTGGCTGAATGTTCAAATGCAGCCTGTCTTCGGAGTCTGCGAGGTGGGTAAAACACATCATCCGATGTCATCATCTCATCGAAGGAGTGACTGCCTCGAATCCCTGGTGGGACACTAAGGGTAGGAGGGGAGGAAGTTGGCATTGAGTTACTCCTAATAAGGGTCCCAGAATCTGATGGAGGCTCCAGAAGCCCTGTGCTACTTTGACAGGGTCCTGTTGGATACTGCTTGGGATCTCCAGAGACTCCAACATCCCCTCTGAAACAGATATGATCCTCAGCTATCTTCCCCATGTCCAGAATAGCACCTGGTTGCTTTAAGCCAGCCAGGCTGCTGGGGTCTGCCCCTGCCATGCCCACTGTGATAGACTGTCTGGATCTGGAGTTGGGTCGGTAGTACCAAGTCCGACCAAACATTATCTCTTCATACGTCTTGACATTAGTATTTGGAGGGCTGATCTGCTGCTCTGCACTCTCAGAGCGTGAAAAGTAGCCAGAGTCTGTGCTGCCTTTGCTGTGAGGACTAAGAAGGTTCAGGGACTGGGACATGCCAGAGTCAGAGTCCTGGCCCTTTTTCTCGTTTAGCCTTAGGGCCAAACGTTGTTTGATGGTGGGGGAGTCATCTAGTGAATGTGCTCTTCCACCAGCCTGTGATGCCAACATGTGGTGTGACCCCTTTATGTCCTGAAAGGGTGGGCACTCCATCCCTGTGGAGGGGACTCCCCCAGGCTTGGGGACAATAAGGATAGGCACTTTCATAGACCCCACCGGTAGCTCTTCAGCTGAGTCTGCATATGCTGGTTCCACACCACCTATACAGTGAGAAAGAGTGGGGCATAACATAGAGTAGAGGATGAAAAAGCAGAAGGGTTGAATAAAACTTTTAGCACAAAAGATGGACATGTAGGCAGTAAGTGAGTGGAACTGAACAAAATAAATTGGTGAAATGAATCAACTTGATCCTGGAAATCTGTGACTGATACCTTTTATACGTTTGGGTATTCATCCTGGGTATTCAACATTGCAGTTGAGTCAGGCAGTGTAGAGTAAACAATAAAAATCTATATGTATAATTGTAAACTGGCACTGGTTTTTAAAATTGAAAAAATAAATAAATAATAAATCCTTATTTTTTTTTAAGGTTTTGATCATTAGGAAAGAAAACCCATACCAAGCAGCAGTTTATGCATCTTAACACCTACTGATTTAGTGAAACAGTTTTGGGAAACTAGCCAGAGGTCAGAGACAGGCAGGTCTTTACGATTTTTTATGGGTGATTCTCAGGATGGTAAATTTTTCAGAATGTGTCTTGTGGAGGGAAAATTACCTGTATTCTTGTCAGCTTCAAAGGAGATCTGTGGGATGGGACTGTCTTTATCCGTCAGCATGGTGGAGCCCTCCACGCCTTCCTCATCTGTGTCGGTACTCTGCTCTCCATCTGAATGGACCTCAGCCTCGCCTACTGGGGATGCCTGGTCCATGTCCCCACTGCGGGCCACAGCTAGCTCTGAAAATGGTACGAGTCCAGCCTTGATGGCATGAGCGTGGGACTTGCGATGCTTGTAAAGGTTACTCTTGGTTTTGAAGGAAAAGCCACAGGGTACACAAGGATATGGCCTCTCTCCAGTATGTGAGCGGATGTGCTTCTTCAGGACACTGGGCTTGGCGCAAGCTCTACCACAATAGTGACAGATGTACTTACCAGGCTTTTTCGGCTTCTGCTCTTTTTTATTATAGCCCTCCTCTCCAGGCTCAGGGCCTGACTGAGAGTACTGTCCGAAGGAACTGGGTAAACTGGGGGATTTCTGGCGAGGAAACCTCCCTGCCCCAGCCCCATGAGGGTGCGTGTGTCCTGGATGTCCAACAGGGTACAAGTCATCAGAGGGCAACTGGCCAGCAAATGGCCAGGCATGGGGCTCTAGTCCTGGCTGGGGTTTGGCTCCTGAGAGGAAGCGCTCAGTTTGGGGGTGCTGAGGGTACGGCTGGCCCAACTGGTAGGAGTATCCCCTTGGGAACCCCTGAGCAAAGGGCCCTTGGGGGTCTTGAGATGGCGGCCCTCCTATGGCCCCAGATAGCAGCTTTCCAGAATTCCCTGTAAATGCGTACTTCTGCTGGGGTGCTGATCCCCCGGTGGCACCACAGGGCAAACTCTCACGGTGTTTTGCCTCTGGGTCAGCAAAAGTGCTTCGTTTGGTGGTTGCAGAGGGCTCGGACGCCCACTTTCTTTGAAGAGGCGTTTTCTCCTTCACTGGTTCCTTATTAGAGCATTTCTGCCCAGTGGCAGCCAATTCACGAGCCTCCATTTTTGTGAAGCTCTTCTGTAGGTTAGAAGAGGGAGGAGAGAGGGGATAGTGGGGGGGTTGGGAGGGCAGGGTCTGGAAGGTTACAAGGTCCCAAAACTACCAGGCATGATAGCTGAACCTTTGAGGGCAACAAGTTCACAGAAACAGGAAGTACCCGTCCATTGCTGAAATAGACTGATTGTAAAGCCAGGCTGGAAACAGGAATTAGGAAGTGGAAATAAAAGGGGAGCTTTAGTGGATAACATCAGAAATATTTCTCTCCTTTTGCCATTTTGTAAACACGCTACTGTTGTTGTGCGTCGTTTTTCTGTCCAGTTCATCTAAAGGCAGAAGAATCCTTGAGTGATCTGGAGAGGACACAAAGAGAATAAAAAAGGTTTGGTGACTTGTGGAGCACATTTTAAGTCAGCAGTGGTGGTCAACAACATACTGAATTTTATCAAAGGGTGTATACTAACTTTTCTTTAAAGGAACGTGCTTGTAGATCTTCTTTCTGTAGTCTTAAAAGTCATTCAGTTTTCTCACCAAAAGACCTGCAGCAAAACAAAAGAGTGAATCATCAGTACAATTCAAAACTCAATGACGGCACAGATGATAATTTAACCTATAGCCTGATACCTCTCTCTTACCATAAGTTGGTTTTGTGTTGAAACCTTGAAGTCATTTACAAAAAGATGTAACATTCTGGTTGCTAAGTGCAACACAACACCATATACTTTATTGTACAGAGAGGGCTCACTAAGTTGTCAAGTACATGCCTGATGTGCGAATGTAAATGTCATTGATTGCTCAGTTAGTTGCTTCACACAGGAATCCATCTGTGCTTTTTGCCTTCTCCACCCCTTCCTCCTCCCTCCCGCCCTCCCTCCTCCTTCCACTCAGTGAGTCACCGATGCAAAGCAAACCCACGCTGTTCCTAAAAAGACACAAAGGCTTATAAATAGCACTGTGGAAGTGACGTCGGAGTGTCATAATGTGTGTAGGCGTCCAAAAAGGCCAAGTCGAAGAGCAGCCATCAGCACCAGCACCTTTCCTTCCTCTCTGGGTGTCATAATTTGATCTAACTTGGTATGTACTTAGCAAACAAGAGAGCACACACACACAGAACTGAAAAGAGACACACACATACGTGGATACAGTACTGACAGGCATTGCAACTGCACTGCAAACACTGCAGTAGACACAGTGTATATGTGTGTGTGTTTCCGTTGTTTAACGTTTTCTAACCACACCAACACCTGACAGCAGATGAAGAACAGTCGCATTGCACACATACAAACGCCTGCTGAAGTTGCAGTTTTGCTTTGTATTTTCTCATCTCAGGGTTCAAACAACCTCCCCCGCTTTCTGATTGCGACACACACACACACACACATTCACATCTACAGTATACACACACAATGTGGCCTTGGTGCTAGTAAGCAGGGCTCAATGACGTGTGTGTCTGGGGGCCCAATGTGAGATCTATAAATAGCACTTGAGGAAAACATACTGTATTCTTAGCAGCAGGAATGTTAACTTTGGGCTACCTTGTGCAATTCACATGCAGCGCCCTACACACACAAACATACACACTTG